ACATGAAACCGCTGGGAGAGGTCATGCGGTGAAGCTGGGGGACACCTTCTCGGAGCCCTGGTCCTTGACCTGTGGGGTCCTGCAAGGCTCCATTCTGTCTCCCATGCTATTTGACATCTACATGAAACCGCTGGGAGAGGTCATGCACAGTTCATCTTGGTAGATGATCTCTGCATCGAGCTGGACAGGGGGAGTGTGACCCTCCTGGTTCTCTTGGACATCTCAGTGGCTTTCAATACCATCAACCATGGTATCCTTCTGGGACGGCTCTCCGGGATGGGTCTTGGGGGCACGGCTCTGTCGTGGCTCCGGTCCTTCTTGGAGGGTCAATTCCAGATGGTGAAGCTGGGGGACACCTTCTCGGAGCCCTGGTCTTTGACCTCTGGGGTCCCGCAAGACCGCAAGGAGAGGTCATGCACAGTTCATCTTGGTAGATGATCTCTGCATCGAGCTGGACAGGGGGAGTGTGACCCTCCTGGTTCTCTTGGACATCTCAGTGGCTTTCAATACCATCAACCATGGTATCCTTCTGGGACGGCTCTCCGGGATGGGTCTTGGGGGCACGGCTCTGTCGTGGCTCCAGTCCTTCTTGGAGGGTCAATTCCAGATGGTGAAGCTGGGGGACACCTTCTCGGAGCCCTGGTCTTTGACCTCTGGGGTCCCGCAAGACCGCAAGGAGAGGTTATGCACAGTTCATCTTGGTAGATGATCTCTGCATCGAGCTGGACAGGGGGAGTGTGACCCTCCTGGTTCTCTTGGACATCTCAGTGGCTTTCAATACCATCAACCATGGTATCCTTCTGGGACGGCTCTCCGGGATGGGTCTTGGGGGCACGGCTCTGTCGTGGCTCCGGTCCTTCTTGGAGGGTCAATTCCAGATGGTGAAGCTGGGGGACACCTTCTCGGAGCCCTGGTCTTTGACCTCTGGGGTCCCGCAAGACCGCAAGGAGAGGTCATGCACAGTTCATCTTGGTAGATGATCTCTGCATCGAGCTGGACAGGGGGAGTGTGACCCTCCTGGTTCTCTTGGACATCTCAGTGGCTTTCAATACCATCAACCATGGTATCCTTCTGGGACGGCTCTCCGGGATGGGTCTTGGGGGCACGGCTCTGTCGTGGCTCCGGTCCTTCTTGGAGGGTCAATTCCAGATGGTGAAGCTGGGGGACACCTTCTCGGAGCCCTGGTCTTTGACCTCTGGGGTCCCGCAAGACCGCAAGGAGAGGTCATGCACAGTTCATCTTGGTAGATGATCTCTGCATCGAGCTGGACAGGGGGAGTGTGACCCTCCTGGTTCTCTTGGACATCTCAGCGGCTTTCGATACCATCGATCATGGTATCCTTCTGGGACGACTCTCTGGGACGGGTCTCGGGGGAACGGCTCTGTCGTGGCTCCAGTCCTTCTTGGAGGGTCAATTCCAGATGGTGAAGCTGGGGGACACCTTCTCGGAGCCCTGGTCTTTGACCTCTGGGGTCCCGCAAGACCGCAAGGAGAGGTCATGCACAGTTCATCTTGGTAGATGATCTCTGCATCGAGCTGGACAGGGGGAGTGTGACCCTCCTGGTTCTCTTGGACATCTCAGTGGCTTTCAATACCATCAACCATGGTATCCTTCTGGGACGGCTCTCCGGGATGGGTCTTGGGGGCACGGCTCTGTCGTGGCTCCAGTCCTTCTTGGAGGGTCAATTCCAGATGGTGAAGCTGGGGGACACCTTCTCGGAGCCCTGGTCTTTGACCTCTGGGGTCCCGCAAGACCGCAAGGAGAGGTCATGCACAGTTCATCTTGGTAGATGATCTCTGCATCGAGCTGGACAGGGGGAGTGTGACCCTCCTGGTTCTCTTGGACATCTCAGTGGCTTTCAATACCATCAACCATGGTATCCTTCTGGGACGGCTCTCCGGGATGGGTCTTGGGGGCACGGCTCTGTCGTGGCTCCGGTCCTTCTTGGAGGGTCAATTCCAGATGGTGAAGCTGGGGGACACCTTCTCGGAGCCCTGGTCTTTGACCTCTGGGGTCCCGCAAGACCGCAAGGAGAGGTCATGCACAGTTCATCTTGGTAGATGATCTCTGCATCGAGCTGGACAGGGGGAGTGTGACCCTCCTGGTTCTCTTGGACATCTCAGTGGCTTTCAATACCATCAACCATGGTATCCTTCTGGGACGGCTCTCCGGGATGGGTCTTGGGGGCACGGCTCTGTCGTGGCTCCAGTCCTTCTTGGAGGGTCAATTCCAGATGGTGAAGCTGGGGGACACCTTCTCGGAGCCCTGGTCTTTGACCTCTGGGGTCCCGCAAGACCGCAAGGAGAGGTCATGCACAGTTCATCTTGGTAGATGATCTCTGCATCGAGCTGGACAGGGGGAGTGTGACCCTCCTGGTTCTCTTGGACATCTCAGTGGCTTTCAATACCATCAACCATGGTATCCTTCTGGGACGGCTCTCCGGGATGGGTCTTGGGGGCACGGCTCTGTCGTGGCTCCGGTCCTTCTTGGAGGGTCAATTCCAGATGGTGAAGCTGGGGGACACCTTCTCGGAGCCCTGGTCTTTGACCTCTGGGGTCCCGCAAGACCGCAAGGAGAGGTCATGCACAGTTCATCTTGGTAGATGATCTCTGCATCGAGCTGGACAGGGGGAGTGTGACCCTCCTGGTTCTCTTGGACATCTCAGTGGCTTTCAATACCATCAACCATGGTATCCTTCTGGGACGGCTCTCCGGGATGGGTCTTGGGGGCACGGCTCTGTCGTGGCTCCAGTCCTTCTTGGAGGGTCAATTCCAGATGGTGAAGCTGGGGGACACCTTCTCGGAGCCCTGGTCTTTGACCTCTGGGGTCCCGCAAGACCGCAAGGAGAGGTCATGCACAGTTCATCTTGGTAGATGATCTCTGCATCGAGCTGGACAGGGGGAGTGTGACCCTCCTGGTTCTCTTGGACATCTCAGTGGCTTTCAATACCATCAACCATGGTATCCTTCTGGGACGGCTCTCCGGGATGGGTCTTGGGGGCACGGCTCTGTCGTGGCTCCGGTCCTTCTTGGAGGGTCAATTCCAGATGGTGAAGCTGGGGGACACCTTCTCGGAGCCCTGGTCTTTGACCTCTGGGGTCCCGCAAGACCGCAAGGAGAGGTCATGCACAGTTCATCTTGGTAGATGATCTCTGCATCGAGCTGGACAGGGGGAGTGTGACCCTCCTGGTTCTCTTGGACATCTCAGTGGCTTTCAATACCATCAACCATGGTATCCTTCTGGGACGGCTCTCCGGGATGGGTCTTGGGGGCACGGCTCTGTCGTGGCTCCGGTCCTTCTTGGAGGGTCAATTCCAGATGGTGAAGCTGGGGGACACCTTCTCGGAGCCCTGGTCTTTGACCTCTGGGGTCCCGCAAGACCGCAAGGAGAGGTCATGCACAGTTCATCTTGGTAGATGATCTCTGCATCGAGCTGGACAGGGGGAGTGTGACCCTCCTGGTTCTCTTGGACATCTCAGTGGCTTTCAATACCATCAACCATGGTATCCTTCTGGGACGGCTCTCCGGGATGGGTCTTGGGGGCACGGCTCTGTCGTGGCTCCGGTCCTTCTTGGAGGGTCAATTCCAGATGGTGAAGCTGGGGGACACCTTCTCGGAGCCCTGGTCCTTGACCTGTGGGGTCCTGCAAGGCTCCATTCTGTCTCCCATGCTATTTGACATCTACATGAAACCGCTGGGAGAGGTCATGCGGAGTTCATTTTTTGGTGGTTGACCTCCGCAGGGAGCTGGACAGGGGGAGTGTGACCCTCCTGGTTCTCTTGGACATCTCAGTGGCTTTCAATACCATCGACCATGGTATCCTTCTGGGAATGGCTCCCCGGGATGGGTTTTGGGGCACGGCTCTGTCGTGGCTCCGGTCCTTCCTGGAGGGTCGAACTCAGATGGTGAAGCTGGGGGACACCTTCTCGGAGCCCTGGTCCTTGACCTGTGGGGTCCTGCAAGGCTCCATTCTGTCTCCCATGCTATTTGACATCTACATGAAACCGTTGGGAGAGGTCATGCGGAGTTCATTTTGGTGGTTGACCTCCACAGGGAGCTGGACAGGGGGAGTGTGACTCTCCTGGTTCTCTTGGACATCTCAGTGGCTTTCAATACCATTGACCATGGTATCCTTCTGGGACCATCTGGGATCGGCCCTCCAGGAAGGACTGGAGCCATGACAGAACCGTGCCTCCAAGGCCCATCCCAGAGAGGCGTCCCAGAAGGATACCATGATCGATGGTATCAAAAGCCACTGAGATATCCAAGAGAACCAACAGAGTCACACTCCCCCTGTGCAGCTCTCTACGGAGGTCATCAGGGTATACAGCGTTGCCTCACTTATCGCGGGTGTTACGTTCCAGGACCACCCGCAATAAGTAAAATTCCGCGAAGTAGGGACACTGTTCTGGTACAGCCGCACCAGGAGCTCCAGCTTATCTTGCTATTTGTTGATTACTGCATGTATTGTAAAGTTCTATGCCTTTGCAGTTCGATGGCTTTCCTTGCTTTGCAGTTATTGGGTCAACTCAGTGTTTCTCAACCTGGGGGTCGGGACCCCTCGGGGGGTCTTGAGGGGGTGTCAGAGGGGTTTGCTGTTGTTGTGTTGAGGCCTTGGCCTTTGTAAGCCGCATCGAGTCCTTCGGGAGATGCTAGCGGGGTACAAATACAATGTACAATGTGGGGTACAATGTGTAATTGTATTATTGATAGTGATGTTGTTTATTGTTGTTTGTGATATTGCTTACGTTGCAAATTGTACCTGTTTTTATATGTTGTACACCACCGTGAGTGAACGGCGGTCTACAAGTGCAGTAAATAAATAAATAAATAAATAAATACAGTTTAATAATAATAATAATAATAATAATAATAATAATAATACTAATAATACCCAAATGACTTACCAGGGTGGGATATTGGTATGAAAGTGCATTATTCTAAGCTTGGAATGCAAGCGTGTGTTGCCCTCCATAAGCTTTTTATCCTTTCCCTCGCCAGATGTTGATGCAGCAACCCATGCCGATGGTCTTCAGTGGCGTTCAGCATCAGAGCCCAAGGCGGCCTTCCCAGCAACAGGCAACCGCCGCAGCCAACAGACCGGCCGCTGCCAAGAAGTCCCAGCAACAGCAACAACAACAACAACAACAGCAACAAGGCTTAATGGCACCCAAGCAGTTCTGCGGCACACACCTGGCCTCACCACAGCAATTCCAGGTAGGGATAGAGCCGTAGGTGCCTTTCGTCATTTTATTTATTTATTTATTTACTTCATTTATTGACCGCCGCTCTCAGCCCTAGGGCGACTCGCGGCGGTGCACAACATATAAAAACAGTTTACAAAAGACAAAAACAAGCAATCAATACAACAATAATACTATAAACTAGTTACACTAAATAATCCGCTCCGTCACATCCTGGAATCATAACCAATATCATAATCCGTAAACCGTTCCAATTGTCAATTTCTAATTGCCGTAGCGCTCAGTTGAATGCCTTCTCAAAAAGCCAGGTCTTCAGGCTCCGACGGAAGGACAAAAGGGAGGGCGCCTGTCTGATGTCAGCAGGGAGGTCGTTCCACAGCCGGGGGGCCACCACCGAGAAGGCCCTTTCTCTCGTCCCCGCCAGACGTGCCTGTGAAGCAGGCGGGATCGAGAGAAGGGCCTCCCCAGACGATCTCAAGGTCCTCGTGGGCTCATAGGCCAAGATGCGGTCCGAAAGGTATTTTGGGCCGGAACCGTTTAGGGCTTTGTAGGATAACACCAGCACCTTAAATTGGGCCCGGTAGCAGATCGGCAGCCAGTGGAGCTGGGACAACAAGGGTGTTGTGTGCTCCCTGCGTCCCGCTCCCGTTAGTAACATGGCTGCCTCGCGCTGGACTAGCTGAAGCTTCCGGGCCGTCTTCAAGGGCAGCCCCACGTAGAGAGCGTTGCAGTAGTCAAGGCGGGATGTGACCAGAGCATGTACCACCGTGGCCAAGTCAGACTTCCCAAGGTACGGGCGCAGCTGGCGCACGAGCCTAAGCTGTGCAAATGCTCCCCTGGTCACCCCTGAAACCTGGGGATCCAGGCTCAAAGATGAATCCAGGGTCACACCCAAGCTGCGAACCTGCGCCTTCAAGGGGAGTGCGACCCCGTCCAGCACAGGCTGTAACCCTATACCCTGTTCGGCCTTGCGACTGACCAGGAGGACCTCTGTCTTGTCTGGATTCAATTTCAATTTGTTAGCTCTCATCCAGTCCAACACAGCAGCCAAACACCGATTCAAGGTCTGAACAGCCTCCTTAGTAACAGGTGGGAAGGAGTGACAGATTTGGACGTCATCTGCGTACAGATAACACCTTAGTCCGAAACTGCAGATGATCTCCCCCAGTGGCTTCATGTAGATATTAAACAACATGGGGGACAGTATAGAACCCTGTGGAACCCCACAGGTCAAAGGCTGTGGTGTTGAACAGGAGTCCCCCAATAACACCTTCTGGGTACGACCCTCCAGAAATGACTGGAGCCACTGCAGAGCAGTGCCCCCAAGACCCATTTCCGCAAGGCGCCCCAGAAGGATACCGTGGTCGACGGTATCGAAGGCCGCTGAGAGGTCCAGGAGCACCAACAGGGACACACTCCCCCTGTCTAGCTCCCGGCGCAGATCATCCACTAAGGCGACCAAGACCGTCTCGGTTCCATGTCCCGGTCTGAAACCAGACTGTGCCGGATCCAGAAAATCCGTGTCTCTCAAGAATACCTGGAGTTGTGAGGCTGGACACCATGTTAAATGCAGTCTCCGTGGATGTGACACGAGCACCTGCTTGTCCTACTTTGATGGATTCTTTTCAGTTTGTGAAGCCCGAGGATGTGGACATTTTCTCATCTAGATCACCTTAAGAGCCAGTCATTGCTGAATGGATCTGTTGGGATGCTTGGATCCTTCTTCATTTTATCCCAGAATCCAGAAGACGCAGGATGGGATTGCAGCCTCTCTGATCAGCAGGAGAAAACCTGAACAGCCTTCATTCTGCTGCTCTTTTAGAAGTTGTACTAGCTGTACCCAGCCACTCTTTGCTGTGGTATAGCCTGGTCTCGATCTAAGCCACACAATTCTAATTATTGTCCTTGTGCTGTGCTGATTGTGATCGCAAAAGCCAGTCAAATAGGGAATCGAAGTCTACTGAATAGGGAATCAAAGTCTTTTTTCGAGAGACTTACAAGCTGAATAGATGCGGGGAATGCCGTGGATGTAGCGTACCTGGATTTCAGGAAGGCCTTCTTTGACAAGGTTCCCCCATGACCTTCTGGCAAGGAAACTAGTCCAATGTGGGCGAGGCAAAACTACGGTGAGGTGGATCTGTAATTGGTTAAGTGGACGAACCCAGAGGGTGATTCTCCCCAATGCTTCCTCTTCATCCTGGAAAGAAGTGACAAGTGGAATGCCATCAGCAGGGTTCCATCCTGGGCCCAGTCCTGTTCAACATCTTTATTAATGACTTAGATGAAGGGCTAGAAGGCATGATCATCAAGTTTGCAGACGACACCAAATTGGGAGGGATAGCCAATACTCCAGAGGAGAGGAGCAGGATTCAAAACGATCTTGACAGATTAGAGAGATGAGGCCAAAACTAACAAAATGAAGTTCAACAGTGACAAATGCAAGATACTCCACTTTGGCAGGAAAAAGGAAATGCAAAGATACAGAATGGGGGATGGGTGACGCCTGTCTCGAGAGCAGTACGTGTGAAAAAGATCTTGGAGTCCTTGTGGACAACAAGTTAAACATGAGCCAACAATGTGATGTGGCGGCAAAAAAAGCCAATGGGATTTTGGCCTGCATCAAGAGGAGCATAGTGTCTAGATCTAGGGAAGTCATGCTCCCCATGCTCTATTCCACTTTGGTTAGACCACACCTGGAATATTGTGTCCAATTCTGGGAACCACAATTCAAGAGAGATATTGACCTAAGATGGAATGTGTCCAGAGGAGGGCGACTAAAATGATCAAGGGTCTGGAGAACAAAGCCCTATGAGGAGCGGCTTAAGGAGCTGGGCATGTTTAGCCTGAAGAAGAGAAGGCTGAGAGGAGATATGATAGCCATGTATAAATATGTGAGAGGAAGCCACAGGGAGGAGGGAGCAAGCTTGTTTTCTGCTTCCCTGGAGACTAGGACATGGAACAATGGCTTCAAACTACAAGAAAGGAGATTCCATCTGAACATGAGGAAGAACTTCCTGACTGTGAGAGCCATTCAGCAGTGGAACTCTCTGCCCCGGAGTGTGGTGGAGGCTCCTTCTTTGGAAGCTTTTAAACAGAGGCTGGATGGCCATCTGTCGGGGTGATTGGAATGCAATATTCCTGCTTCTTGGCAGGGGGTTGGACTGGATGGCCCAGGAGGTCTCGTCCAACTCTTGGATTCTAGGATTCTAGGATTCTGCCCTCATGCTGGAAAAGCATTATTATTATTATTATTATTATTATTATTATTATTATTATTCTATAGTTCAACTTTCTAAACCTTGATTTTATTTTTGTGTCTGTTTTGTGCGTACTTGTCAGGTGCAGCAGCAGCAGCAGCAAAAGCAGCACGTCATGAGAGGCAACCCGGTCCAGCAGGCCTGCTTGCCCATGCAGATGAGCATTTCGATGCCGCTCTACAACAACCCCATGGTGTTCTCCCAAGCGCACCCCATCACTGTGTCTACTCCGATGCCGGCCGAAATGGGCGAACGGCAACAACTGCCCGACTACAACCAAGATCGGAGCTTAAGGTATTGGAATGGGTGACGGGATGGTGAGGCGGCTGGGGATTTGTTTGCTTATATATAATCCCCACTTGGTCATCAGGGAAGGGGCGGTGGTGTAGAAACGGGTTATGGGCCCGAGATGTGTCCCATTCGTTTCATTTGCATTTCTGTTTCGTTCTGTCCGTTTGGATGGCACGAAACGGAAAGGCCCCTCCTGAAATGAAAATGCAATCAATAACGTTAAATTCAAACGAGGACATTTTATTTGTGTATTTAACGGCAGCAGCCAGGATGCGCATGCGTTGTAATTGTCAGAGTTTGGCGGTGCACAGCAGAAGGATTGCTAGATCAGCAGACACTGTGTTGCAAAATAAGGACTCTGCAGGCTTCGAGTTACAAAAGAAACTAAGTTTACTAAGCACATTCAATAGACCCGTCTTACTACAGCGAGCTACAATTCAGGAACTAGTCAAAACGAAAGTCTCTTCACATCTGCTAATCTCTTCTTGCTGAGACTGGCTACTCCCTTCTGTTCCCAGCAAGAGCAAACCTTATCTTACTTTTCTCAAGGTTACTTAATCACAGCCTCATGGTATGAACATTCTGCACAGCATTTCTAATACACAGTGGAATCCATCTTGGAAATACATAGAAGCACATTTAAAACACATACATAACTAAATTAATCCTGACTGTAATGTATTTTTCGTTTTTTGGCTTTTTAAGTTTCTTCCGTTGTGTTTTTCAGTGTTTTTATGAGTGACTAGCTGTCCCCTGCCAGGAGTTGCTGTGGCCCAGTCTGTATATATGTGCTTTGCATGTATATGTGTGTATATATATTTGTGTATATCTGTATACATGTATGTGTGTGTGGTTTTGCGCATGCATTTTGATGCTTTTTTTTTTGCTTTTTGAGTATCTTCCGCTGTGTTTTTCAATATTTTTCTGAGTGATGGTCACTCGTTGGCCTGAGAGGTGTCTTGTGTCCAAATTTGGTGTCTATTCCCCCAGTGGTTTTTGAGTTATGTTAATCCCACAAACGAACACTACATTTTTATTGATACAGACTAACTAAGTGGAGTATCTTGCATTTGTCCCTGTTGAACTTCATTTTGTTCGTTTTGGCCATTCATCTCTAATCTGTCAAGATCGTTTTGAGTCCTGTTCCTGTCCTCTGGAGTCTTGGCTCTCCCTCCCAATTTGGTCCTGTCTGCAAACTTGATGATCCTGCCTTCTAGCCCTTCATCTAAGAAGTCATGGATGAAGATCGTGAGCAGGACCGGGCCCAGGACGGAACCCTCCTAATGGCACTCCACTCGTCACTTCTTTCCAGGATGAAGAAGAGGAAGCCTTGGGGAGAATCACCCTCTGGGTTCGTCCATTTAACCAATTCCAGATCCACCTCACCGTAGTTTTGCCTCGCCCACATTGGACTAGTTTCCTTGCCAGAAGGTCATGGGGGACCTTGTCAAAGAAGGCCTTCCTGAAATCCAGACACGCCCCATCCACGGCATCATTCCCCGCATCTACCCAGCTTGTAACTCTATCGAAAAAAGAGATCAGATGAGTCTGGCATGACTTGTTTTTGATAAATCCATGTTGACTCATTAGCGATGACCACATTTGTTTCTAAGTGTTTGCAGACCACTTCCTTGACAATCTTTTCCAGAATCTCGCCTGGTATCGACGTGAGGCTGACCGGACATTGGTCATTGTTTGGGTCATCCTTTTTTCCCTTCTTGAAGATTGGGACCACATTGGCCCTCCTCCAATCTGCTGGAACTTCTCCCGTTCTCCAAGTACTCTCAAAGATGATTGTCAATGGTTCCGAGATGACTTCCGCTCGTTCCTTCCATACTCTTGGGTGGAGTTGATCTGGCCCTGAAAGGGGCCTGGAACTTGTTTAGAGTGGCCAGGTCTTCCTGGACGACTTGTTTCCCAATTTGGATGTCCTCTACTCCCTCATCCACTCCATCTTGCTGAGGTTGAAGATGACTTTCTTTTTGTGAGAAGACCGAGGCAAAGAAGGCATTAAGTAGTTCTGCAGCTCCTCCATTTTTCCTGTTATTTGTTCCCAAAATGTTTTTACCTTTGGACATTCCCACCACATATGTGCATAGCATCCTTTGCTTAAGCCACAATGTGGCAAATGAGACCATGAACCTGAACCTTTGGCTTGTTTTCCGCTATCCGTCTTGCAGGTTTGCTCAGGAGCAGCAGGGACTTCCTCCCGCGGTGCAGATGCAGCCCATCACGTGCGCCACCATCGCCCCCTCGCCCGTTTTCACCCCGTCGGTGATGATCCCGCACAGCAATGTGGCCGCGCAGCAGAGCCACGCTCCCAACGCTCTCCATCAGTGGCAACCACCGCAGGTCCAGCAGCATCACCTCTACCTTCAGGTGAGGGGGCCTCCCAGTGGCACCAGTTTCCGGGCAGGGAACAATGGAAGCGTATTATTGCTGTGGGTCTTTAACATCTTCTCCTGAGGTCCCGTATTGGGGGAAAAGGCAGAAAGGGACTTCTTAGGTGATTCCAGAGAGCTTTGCATTTGGACAATTCATAACCTCTTCCCATGAGGAGAGGACGTTCCTCGCTCTTGGTGAGGAATGCTGGGAGTTGTTGTCCCAGAAGTAATTTGGAAGGTTGCATAATCCCTGTGAGGGTGCATATAGACCAGGTATGGGCAAACTTGGGCCCTCCCTCCAGGTGTTTTGGACTCCAACTCCCACAATTCCTAACAGCCGGTAGGTTGTTAGGAATTGTGGGAGTTGGAGTCCAAAGCACCTGGAGGAAGGGCCCAAGTTTGCCCATGCTTGATGTATACTGTAGAATTAATACAGTTCGATACAGTTGTGCAATTATGAGAGCTCCCAACTGATGACACTGGAGGCAAGACGGAACTGCCTTCCTGGCCCCTCTCTTCACTCTAATAATAATAATAATAATAATAATAATAATAATAATAATAATAATAGAAGGGAGGCACCAAAGCCTTCCAGTATTTTCTGTTCGTCATGGGAGTTCTGTGTGCCAAGTTTGGTCCAATTCCATCGTTGGTGGAGTTTAGAATGCTCTTTGATTGCAGGTGAACTATAAATTCCAGCAACTACAACTCCCAAATGACAAATCCCCTCCCCACCTCACTAGTATTCATATTTGGGCTTATTGATTATTTGTGCCAAATGTGGTCCATTGAAGGAGAATACATCCTGCATATAAGATATTTACATGATGATTCCTAACAATAGCAAAATGACAGTTATGAAGCAGCAACAAAAAATGATATTATGGTCGGGGGTCACCACAACATGAGGAACTGTATTAAGGGGTCGCGGCATTAGGAGAGTTGAGAACCACTGCATTAACGTCTCCTTAGCTCTCTCCAATCAGAGACCTAATCTCATATCACGGGACAACAGTAGCAAAATGACAGTTATGACATAGCAACAAAAAATGATATTATGGTCGGGGGTCACCACAACATGAGGAACTGTATTAGGGGGTCGCGGCATTAGAAGGTTGAGAACCACTGCATTAATGTTTCCTTAGCTCTCTCCAATCAGAGACCTAATCTCATATCACGGGACAACAGTAGCAAAATGACAGTTATAGGAGCAACGAAAATAATGTGATGGTTGGGGGTCACCACAACATGAGGAACTGGATTAAGGGGTCGCGGCATGAGGAAGGTTGAGAACTATTGCATTTACGTTTCCTTAGCTCTCTCCAACCAGGGACCTAATCTCATATCACGGGACAACAGGAGCAAAATGACAGTTCTGAAGGAGCAACGAAAATAATGTGATGGTTGGGGGTCACCACAACATTGTAATTTTACTACTGTTGTCCCATGATATGAGATTAGGTCTCTGGTTGGAGAGAGCTAAGGAGACATTAATGCAGTGGTTCTCAACTTTCCTAATGCCGCGACCCCTAAATACAGTTCCTCTTGTTGTGGCGACCCCCAACCATCACATTATTTTCGTTGCTACTTCAGAACTGTCATTTTGCTACTGTTGTCCCGTGATATGAGATTAGGTCTCTGATTGGAGAGAGCTAAGGAAACATTAATGCAGTGGTTCTCAAGCCTTCTAATGCCGCGACCCCCTAATACAGTTCCTCATGTTGTGGTGACCCCCGACCATAACATTATTTTCGTTGCTACTTCAGAACTGTCATTTTGCTACTGTTGTCCCGTGATATGAGATTAGGTCTCTGATTGGAGAGAGCTAAGGAGACGTTAATGCAGTGGTTCTCAACCCTCCTAATGCCACAACCCCTTAATACAGTTCCTCATGTGGTGGTGACCCTCAACCATAACATTATTTTTGTTGCTACTTCAGAACTGTCTTTTTGCTACTGTTGTCCCGTGATATGAGATTAGGTCTCTGATTGGAGAGAGCTAAGGAGACTTTAATGCAGTGGTTCTCAACCTTCCTAATGCCGCAACCCCTAACCACACGTTGAGGAGATTCTCAGCCAGTACCAGGTGCAGAATATTGTTTTCCAAGGAGCCCCATATGTTCTGACCAAGTGCTTGCTTCCTCTGCAGATGCACGGGGTGGCTGAGCAGGGCCAGGGCCAAGGCCAGCGCCTCTTCCCGCAGCCTCACCTCTCTCAGCAGAGTGCCGGTGCCGCCGCCATGGGCTACTTCCACCACCCGCCGCAGCCCCAGAGCCGCCACATGCAGGGCCAGCCCTGCGGCTTGCAAGACCTTCCCGAAATGCAGCTGCCTTGAGGCCTAAAGGGCTGGAGAGATGCTGGTGGAAACGGTTGGGCATGTCTACGTTCGTTCGTTCGTTCGGAGCAGAGGCGAGAATCGGCGGGCAAGCCCAGAAGAGGAGGCAGTCCTGCCCCGAGAGTCTCCGAGAGGCAAGGCTTGTCCTCAAGGAGAGATGCAGCAGAGCCAAAGATGGATGGATGGATGGAAGGAAGGACCTTCTCAAGAGTCAAGAGAGAGATCCTTGAAAGAACCCAATGCTCGAGGTGAAGAAGATCAGAAAGCCAACCTGGCTTCATTACGATCCACCCCAGCTTTGCGCCGGTAGGACATCTCTTCATCTGTATCCTGGGCCTCGAAATGGAGATGCGGGTCAATGAAGCTTGCAGAAGTCCCCTCCGTGGTACAATTCACGGCTCACCTGACATAAGAACTGCTCGGAGAGGGAAAGCAAGCCACCGCTGGCTGGAGAGTTGGGTCCTTCCGGTGCTGCAAAGCCATATATTCACTATGGTAGGTGGATTCCTAGCTCCAAAGCCGTTTCCTTTGAGTAGGGAAGTTTACATACGTAGGAGTTTTGGACCAGAAGCTGCACATGACAAGCTCGGGAGGCAGCCAAGACTTTTCCCCCCATGACCTTTTTTCTTTCTTTTTTGCTACAATCTCGGCAACATTCACTGTGAACCACTCTGAATACAGACTGATTCAGGACCACGGTCAGCAGGTTTCCACCTCTTTGCTTTTCTATTGTGTGTGAGGTATGTTAGATTTTATTTTGGTAGGTGGGCTGATGAATATATTCCCCCCGACTTTCCCTTTGAGTTTTCCCACTTGGTCAATCCCCACTGTTTTTTTTTTGGGTAACTGGGGAACGCTGCTACTGTTGACGACACCACTCTTGCCTGAATTTCTTCTTCTTGCACCAGCTCCTTTCACGGTTAGGATTATGGTCCTATTATACAAAGGTTTCTGCTATTTTTGCTACAAAGTACAGGTATAAACCTATCTATTTCTACTCCCAGCTTAGCCAAATATACATACAGTAGAGTCTCGGATATCCGACCTTCGCTTATCCGACATTCCGTCTTATCCGACGCTCTTATCTGACGGCCTCCTTTTCCTCCAGCATTTCCCCTTCAGTTAAAGAAGCACTCTCCAACTCTCTCTCGATTCCCAATACAGCAGAGTCTCGCTTATCCAACCTTCACTCATCTGACATTCCGTCTTATCCGACGCCCTCCTTTTCCTCCAGCATTTCCCCTTCAGTTATATATTTATATTATTTCCCCTTCAGTTAAAGGAGCGCTCCCCAACTCTCTCTCGATTCCCAACACGGTAGAGTCTCGAATATCCGACCTTCACTTATCCGACATTCCGTATTATCCGACACCCTCCTTTTCTTCCAGCATTTCCCCTTCAGTTAAAGGAGCACTCCCCAACTCTCTCTCGATTCCCAACACGGTAGAGTCTCACTTATCCGACCTTCACTCATTCGACATTCCGCCTTATCCAACACCCTCCTTTTCCTCCAGCATTTCCCCTTCAGTTAAAGGAGCGCTCCCCAACTCTCTCTCAATTCCCAACACAGTAGAGTCTCGGATATCTGACCTTTGCTCATCTGACATTCCGTCTTATCCAACACCCTCCTTTTCCTCCAGCATTTCCCCTTCAGTTAAAGGAGTGCTCCCCAACTCCCTCTCGATTCCCAATACAGTAGAGTCTCACTTATCCGACCTTCGCTCATCTGACATTCTGTCTTATCCGACGCTCCTATCCAACACACCCTTTTCCTACAGCATTTCCCCTTCAGTTAAAGGAGCACTCCCCAACTCTCTCTCTCGATTTATTGTCGGGCTATATGGCCATGTTCTAGAGGCATTCTCTCCTGACGTTTCGCCTAAATCTATGGCAAACATCCTCAGAGGTTGTGTAGTCTGTTGGAACTAGGAAAATTGGGTTTATATATCTGTGGAATGATGTCCAGGGTGGGCCAGCACTTTGAATTGTGCCCGGTAGCAAACTGGAAGCCAGTGGAGCTGGCGCAACAGAGGAGTTGTACGCTCCCTGAGCGCTGCTCCCGTTAGTAACCTGGCTGCTGCCCGCTGGATCATTTGAAGCTTCCGGACAGTCTTCAAAGGCAACCTCACGTAGAGAGTGTTGCAGTAGTCTATATGGGATGTAACCAGAGCATGGACCACTGTGGCCAAGTCAGACAATCCGTCTTATCCGACGTTCTTATCCGATGCTCCCCTTTTCCTCCAATATTTCCCCTTCAATCAAAGGAGCGCTCCCCAACTCTCTCTCCATTCCCAACACAGTAGAGTCTCAGATATCCGACCTTCGCTCATCCAACATTCTGTCTTATCCGACACTCTTAAGTGAAAAAGACGGGATGAGGAGGAGGAGGAGGATGGAGGAAGGAAAGGGGGAAAGAGGCAGGACCAGAAGCGGAAGCATCCTCCCTCCTTCCCTCTATGATTTCCACGCTCCTCTTCCGCATCCGGGCACTTCCTCCTGGGAATCTCTATCCCCGAGGCGTTGCCTTGCTTTAACTCTTTAACTCCATGTTGTTAGTATTCTGGGTGTCTAGCACTGCGTCGGATGGGTAAGTCGGAGGCTCATTATTATCCAACATTTTCATTTAGCCAACGTTCTGCCAACTCATTTATGTTGGATACGTGAGACTCTACTGTACGTAGGTTTTTAAAAAGAGGTGCAGGAACCTCCCCGACTACTTTCTCCCATTTCTCTGTCCTTTTTGAGGGGAGTTTATCAAGACACCCAAAGTCAAAGGCAAACTTTGTGGTTTTGCTCTATTTGGGGTGTGAGACCTGGGCCAGGTGGCGACTTCTACTTCAAGAGGACCGACGCCTACAACGTCACATGGCAGTCGTCTTAGCAATAAATTGTATTTTTGTAAATTGGTCACTTTAACTGTGTTTATATATTTATGATTTTCTAAAAAAAAAAGGTTTTATTCCTCAGTGGGTGTGTATACCAAAGCATCCCCTACTGTTTTGTGCGTTTCCAAAGGAAAATGAATATTGACCATTGTTAGGGGCATTGATGTTTTTTATGTGTGTGTTATATGTTCTTAAAATGTAAACAGTGCTGGATTTGCACTTTTTTCTGTTTGGAAAACAAATCTCGTCAGTTCTGAAGGAGAATTTTGCCAATGCTTCTTCAGCAGGAATAAGCCTGGATTGCAAAAAGAGAGATCCATTGCTGGTTGTTACGAAACGGTCCTTTTGAGCTTGATGGTTTCTAGTAGGTATGTGTAATCCATGGTTCTAAAGTACTTACAGAACTAAAGTTCTGGTGATGAAAACTCGGGGGCGCTGGTGCTTTGCTTCTACAGTGTTGCTAAAGTTCTGGTGGTGAAAATTTCAGAACTCTAACACAACTTTCAACATTTCAATGTATTGTCGAAGGCTTTCATGGCTGGAATCACTGGGTTGTTGTAGGTTTTTTCGGGCTATATGGCCATGGTCTAAGGACATTCTCTCCTGATGTTTCACCTGCATCTATGACAAGCATCCTCAGAGGTTGTGAGGTCTGTTGGAACTAGGAAAAAGGGTTTATGTTACTGAGGTACCCTTCAAAAGATAGTTCTATAAAACATACGCTGCCACCATTTAGTTCTTGATTACTGCTTAAAGCTGCTTTTTAACTTTTAAGCACAGAGGCACACTTGAGACAGATGTGATGAACAATCAACAATAAAGTTTATTTATAAGAAACAGGAACAATGCAGGGACTCGTTTGGCTGTTTCAGAGATTCGTCTTGAAAGTGTAATGGTTCCAAAAACAGTTCTGACTTTGTTACACAAGAATCCTGACAGGATAGTTTCTCTGACAGAAATTCTTCAGCAGCACAGATAGGCCTAACCTGGAACTATCTTACTACTACCCAGCTATTCCTCTGTCTCCAGCAAAAGAGGAATCAGTAATGACGACGCTTAACCTTCTTCATAAGTAATAGACACTCCTCCTTCACATTCCATTGAAAACATCTGGCCTCACACACAGGAAGCAGGAATTGAGACACATATACCTTTCTATGATTCATACAAAACTCTGTGGTTCATTAACGCTATCTCTGCTAGACATTATTACATACACATGCTTCTAGCTTTAAAAAACACACTTTGGAAATCTACTACATAACCCAAAATACAGCACCAACAACAGAGTCCCTGCATTGTTCCTGTTTCTTATAAATAAACTTTATTGTTGATTGTTCATCACATCTGTCTCAAGTGTGCCTCTGTGCTTGAAAGTTAAAAAGCAGCTTTAAGCAGTAATCAAGAACTAAATGGTGGCAGCGTATGTTTTATAGAACTATCTTTTGAAGGGTACCTCAGTAACATAAACCCTTTTTCCTAGTTTCCAACAGACCTCACAACCTCTGAGAATGCCTGATGTGTGGGTAAAACGTCAGAAGAGAATGCTTCCGGAATGTCGGCCTGGAAAACTCACAGCAACCCAGCATTGTCATTCCTTGGCTATTGATCCATTTGGTCTACAAAGCCAAATCTCTCCTGATCTTCCTGCACTGATGAAGAGGAATGGGACAGCCTTTGCTCTCCCGCTGTCCTCGAAAGGGAGAATGTAAACACTAGAAGAGATGTGTGGCATCAGATGCAAAGCGCAATCTCAAGAAAAGAGGAGTGAATGGTATTGATAGTGGTGAGCTGTGGGCACGTATGTTTTGCACATCTGTCGGAGAAATGGCAATGTCGCGGAGCGGCGGTTGACCGGAATCTCTGGCAAATATGTAATTGCTTAACTGGAGAATATCCGTCTCCTTGTCTTTGTCCCATAAAGGGCTGGATAATGTTAAAGTATAGTCTCACGACTATACTTCAGTCCTGGAGAGGGAGGCCAAAACGACGGCAGTCAAGAATGTAGAACGGGGCCTTGTTCTCCGCACGCAGCGAAGGAGACGGGGCAGCACGAGGCACCTTAGGATGGCAAAGCAATGCTTCCTCCCTCCCTCCCTCCCAAGAATGTGTAGCCTGTCAAGAAGTATGGCTTGAGAGCGCTGACTTCACCAAATGTGTAGCTCGAGGCGTTTCAGACTCAGGGCGACCCTCTCGCAGTTTTCTGCTCAAAATTTTTTGGCTTCGTCTTCACCTGAGGCTGAGAGTGGGGCTCGGCTAAAGTCACCCCGTGAGTTGGTTCAGAGCCACAATCTGGGGCTCAAATCGCTATGCCATGCTTTCTGAATGCTGAATTCCTTCCCTCCGTTTCCCTTCCTACCTGGCTTGCGTTCTTTCTCTTTCTTTCTTTCTTTCTTTCTTTCTTTCTTTCTTTCTTTCTTTCTTTTCTCTCTGCCTGCTGGCCTGCTTACTCCATTCCTCTTTCCCTTTTTCCTCCCTCCTTCCCTTCCTCTTACCTTCCTTTTTTCCCTTTCCTTTCTTCTCTCTTCTATCTCTCCTTCCTCCCTCCTTTCCCTCTTTATTTCCCCCTTTCCTTCCTTCCCTCTCTTCTTTCTCCTTCTTTTTCTCCTTCATTCCCTCCTTTCCTCTTTCCTTTTTCTTTTCCTCCCTCTCCTTTTTCTCCTTCTCCCTTCTTTCATTCCCTTCATTTCACCCCTCTTCTTTTCTCCCTTATTTCCCTTTTCCTTTCCTTCTCTCCTTCCTCCCTCCCTTCCCTCTTTCCTCCGCTCTCTTCTTTCTCCTCCCTCCCTTTTCTCCTTCATTCCCTCCTTTCCTCTTTGCTCCTTTCCCTTTCCCTCCCTTCCCTCCTTTTTCTCCTACAGTCCCTCCTTTCAATCCTCTTTCCTTCCACCCCCTTCTTTCCCTCCTTCCCCTCTTTCTTCCTTTTTCTCCTCCCTTCAACTCTTTTATCCTTATTTTCCTTCCCTCTATTCTTGCCCTCCTCCCTTTTCTCTTTTCCCCTTTCCTCTCTCCTTTCCTTCCATTCTCCTCTTCTTTCTCTTTCTCCCTCCCTTCCCTTTTTTCTCCCTTTCCTCTTTTCTTATTCCCTCCCTTCCATCCTTCTATTCTTCCCCTATTTTCTCCCTCTCTTCCCTCTTTTTTTCTCCTCCCTTTCTCCCTTTTCTCCTTCATACCCTTTTCTCTTTCCTCCCTCTCCCTCCTTTTATTCCTTCATCCTACTTTCCACCCAATAACAAAAACGAGCCTGTTTGTTCAATTAATCTTGGAGCCACCATTCCCAAACGTAACTCCTTGTGGTTGCCATGTTTGTGGGGGACATAGGACAATCTGTTATGTACTTGTATAGTTCTTTGTGCTAAACCTGGCTCATGGCTGAGAGCGCTTGCTTGTCCACAGTGACTGGAAGTGTCCTGGGAGTCTTTCCATTTCCTTTCTTCTTCCCTTCCGCAAAGTGTGTGCCGGACGGGGCTTGCTGGAGAAGCCCTTTCGATGGCGACTGTGTGTGCCTGCGGAGAGGAGAACGAGGAGAGCGGAAACGTCTCCAAAGTGGGAATTTATTCTGTTCAGTCCCAACCAGAAATGTCTACGTACTGGCCTTTCTGAAAGCATGCACTTTATTCCTAAAGCACTCTTTTCTCCATCAGTTATCATATTGTTATGCCAGACGAAAAGGGCAATCCGCCTCTTTCCATATTTTCTTGATTTTATGATGCACTTTTTTCTCACATCTCCAAAATCTTATAATCAATAGTTCGGGGCTTCTCAAACGATGGGCCTCAGCCCTTTAAGGCCTTTTTGAACACCCCCAAGTTGCTGTTTCGGACAGGAACTTGTGTTGAAGATGGTTCGGCTGCACTTTTTCCCCCCGTTCTGTGTCAGGAGCGACTTGAGAAACTGCAAGTTGCTTCTGGTGTGAGAGAATTGGCTGTCTGCAAGGACGTTGCTTCGGCTGCACTTTTTTTCCCCCTTCTGTGTCAGGAGCGACTTGAGAAACTGCAAGTTGCTTCTGGTGTGAGGGAATTGGCTGTCTGCAAGGACGTTGCTTCGGCTGCACTTTTTCCCCCTTCTGTGTCAGGAGCAGCTTGAGAAACTGCAAGTTGCTTCTGGTGTGAGAGAATTGGCTGTCTGCAAGGACGTTGCTTCGGCTGCACTTTTTCCCCCCCTTCTGTGTCAGGAGCGACTTGAGAAACTGCAAGTTGCTTCTGGTGTGAGAGAATTGGCTGTCTGCAAGGACGTTGCTTCGGCTGCACTTTTTCCCCCTTCTGTGTCAGGAGCGGCTTGAGAAACTGCAAGTTGCTTCTGGTGTGAGAGAATTGGCTGTCTGCAAGGACGTTGCTTCGGCTGCACTTTTTCCCCCCCTTCAGTGTCAGGAGCAACTTGAGAAACTGCAAGTTGCTTCTGGTGTGAGAGAATTGGCTGTCTGCAAGGACGTTGCTTCGGCTGCACTCCCCCCCCCCTTCTGTGTCAGGAGCGACTTGAGAAACTGCAAGTTGCTTCTGGTGTGAGAGAATTGGCCGTCTGCAAGGACGTTGCCCAGGGGACGCCAGGATGATTTGATGTAGGTTCAAATTTATTGACATGATAGCTTCATTGCTTAACACAACTGATTATGCTCTCTAAGCCTATCCTACCATAGTAAGATGCTGTGTGTGTGTATGTGTATGTGTGTGTCAGGAGCGACTTGAGAAACGTGCAAGTTGCTTCTGGTGTGAGAGAATTGGCTGTCTGCAAGGACGTTGCTTCGGCTGCACTTTTTCCCCCTTCAGTGTCAGGAGCAGCTTGAGAAACTGCAAGTTGCTTCTGCTGTGAGAGAATTGGCTGTCTACAAGGACGTTGCTTCGGCTGCACTTTTTCCCCCCCTTCAGTGTCAGGAGCAACTTGAGAAACTGCAAGTTGCTTCTGGTGTGAGAGAATTGGCTGTCTGCAAGGATGTTGCTTCGGCTGCACTTTTTTCCCCTTCTGTGTCAGGAGCAGCTTGAGAAACTGCAAGTTGCTTCTGGTGTGAGAGAATTGGCTGTCTGCAAGGACGTTGCTTCGGCTGCACTTTTTCCCCCTTCTGTGTCAGGAGCAGCTTGAGAAACTGCAAGTTGCTTCTGGTGTGAGAGAATTGGCAGTCTGCAAGGATGTTTTGATGGTTTATCATCCTTGTAAGAGGCTTCTCTCATGTTCCTTTGCATGGGGAGCTGGAGCTGACAGAGGGAGCTCAACCAGGCTCTTCCCCGGATTCAAACCTGCTGGCAAACCAGCCGACACAAGGGTTTAAACCCATTGCACCCCTGGGTGCCAAAAACGCTTTAATAATGGGGATATCAGCCTGTTTAGCAAGCCTGGCCAATGTTGTTGTATTGTCGAAGGTTTTCATGGCCGGAATCACTGGGTTGTTGTAGTTTTTTTCGGGCTATATGGCCATGATCTAGAGGCATTCTCTCCTGACGTTTCGCCTGCATCTATGGCAAGCATCCTCAGAGGTAGTGAGGTCTGTTGGAACTAGGAAAAAGGGTTTATATATCTGTGGAATGACCAGGGTGGGACAAAGGACTCTTGTCTGCTGGAGCTAGGTGTGAATGTTTCAACTGACTACCT